CCATCACTATATGGGATTAGAGTATACTAAACTTTACACATTATATAGGCTACACTAACGTGACGTTTAGGTGGTTTGTTTAACTATTATACGTCATGTAAGTTTTTCTTTTGGGGGTGGGGGGATTAATGAAAGTGTTTCAAAACGTGATATTAATTTCTTGACGACCTAATATAATATATCAGTACCTGTAACAAGGTTACAGAGCCCACACATGAAATAAGAATGAGTGCTTTAAAGTCACACGTGGTTTAACTGTTGCAGCACTAAAGTCACATGTGGTTTACTTGTTGCAACAGTAGTAAAGTCACGTGCAGTTTACTTGTTGCAGCAGCAGCAAAGTTATGCTTTGTTGCAACATAAATTTCACATTGTTTACTTTTTTAAATAGCAATAGGAACTCAAGAAATATTCTTTTAAACTGCTCGATCAAATCATTCATTTACCACAAACTTAACATTAACTTTTTCAACTGCACCTGGTTACAATACTTGTGTTGAGTTTTACAAGATGATGTGTATTTTTTGTTGTAGGAAACACTGCAGACACCTGAATATAATTCATTTTAAAGTAGCAAAGTGGTTGGTTACTTCTAGTACTGACTGTTACTTTTGGGTTTGTTTGATTCTAATAAAGTCATAATAAATTTCTTGTTTATGCATTTCAGATAATTAAGATCCTTATTTATATATTTAGGCTTGTTCTGATATAATTCCTTTTATAACTTCAGTTATAATTGACAGTTTGCTCATTTTTTGCATATTTTAGTCTCTATTTTCTTATAATACACAAGAAGGTACTAAAAAGTAGTGTTTCAGATATTTATTGTAATACCAGTGGCAGCACTATCACAAAATCATGTGTGTGTTTTTTTACCATAGTTTCATTTTCTTTTCACTTTAGCATATTAATCAGCCACTAGATTACTCAACCATAATATAACACAGTAAAGTTTTCAAAGTCCATCACACTTTCAGTGTCATCCCATGAGAGTGAAATACTTTTACATTCCATGAGGTTTCTGGTTATGTATATAACATAATATCAGAAAGTAGGAACAAGAAAACGTGTGCAAAAAAAAAAACTAAACTTTTTGTAAAATCAGAGAAAAAGAGCTAAGTTTACCCAAAGAAATGTATATACCAATAATAGTTTGGCTTCTAATACTTGGTAAGTCTGCTGAAGATGATATTTTAGGAGATTTTAACAACAGCAATCAAGAGTCTATACAAATAGCTGATATAAACCATTTTCTGTGTTTGATTGTTTAATTGGTGTTAATTTAGTTTATTCAAAAGAAAACCATAAAACATATATACTTACAAATTAAAAACTTTTTCAGTTTTTTTTTTAATTTCCTGTAATGGCTGCTGTATTTTCTTGTGATAGAAGCAAAATTTTCTAAAATTTGATAATACTAAGCAATTAATGAATATTTATGCAATATTATGTGTTAATCTTTTGCCATTGTAATGGTATTCTAATTTTAGCACTTGTTTTATGCAGTTATGAAAAGAATAAAAAGTGTAGTCACCAGATGCATGTAATTGTAAACATTAAAGAAAGTTGCTAAAAGATCCAGAAGAATCATGGTGTCTTTTTTTTTTGTCCATGGCCAGGTGGTTACGTTGCTTGACGTGCAATCTGTTACCAGGTTCAAATCCCTGTCATACCCAACATGTTTGCCCTTTCAGCCATGGGGGTGCTATAATGGAATCGTCAGTCCCACTATTTATTGGAATAAGAATATCCCAAGAATTGGCGGCGGATGGTGATGATTAACTGCCTTCCCCTAGTCTTTCAATGCTAAATTAGGGACAGCTAGCACTGATATTCCTTACGTAGCTTTGTACAAAATTCAAAACAAACCAAACCTTTTATTGTCATCTTTAAGATGACTTTAAGTTAAGCAAGAAGACATTGTTATTAAACATATCTCTTTGTGTAGGAGCGTAATAACAAGTATGAGTGTTGTGAAGGATTTTATTCAGAATCTTGAGAGTTGTCTTAGGACCTCAATCAGAAGCACAAGTGTTGTGTAGGAGCTCAAACAGAATAGCTTTATTAGAAGCTCCAGTGTCGAGTAGCAGGTTGATCAGAAGCCTTAAATGTTGTGTAGGAACTTAGAAGTGTGGTTGTTATTTTGAGTTCAACTAAAAAGCTGTGTTCAGAGTTGAGTCAAAAGCTTGGATGAGTATGATTGTTGAAAACCTTATTTTTAGGAGCAGTAAAATAGGGCATGATTGGAACAAAAAGTTAAATATAGTGTTGAATGTGGAAAGGTGGATAATATGAATGATAGAACCTGAGTTATACTTGATTTTGAGACAATGTTAAAGTGTAATTGGCTTCACCCATATTTTGTTTATTTATAGAAATAGCATATGTAGGCCTAGAAGACATCACCAATAATTAATAGGATTAAATGTAGTGTTAATTTTATTTTTCTCAGAATTTTCTCTGACTATGGACGTTGTAATCATCAAAGTCATGGACATAAAAGTAGCCTGATACATAAATAATATAGAAAAATGTACTTAAAATGGCAATAGAACACTATTAATTCCAGGGTAAAATAGACACGAAATCTAATCAAAACCCAATGAAAAATACTGTTAATTCCACAGTAAAAAAAGACATAAAATGTACTTAAAAGACTTATGGAACATACTGTTAATTATAGTGTAAAATAGACACTGAATGTTCTTAAAAGGCCAATAGAAAATACTGTTAATTCCAGGATCGGAAAGACACAAAATCTACTCCAAAGCCCAATGGAATGTTAAATTCAAGGTAAAATAGACAATGAATGTATTTATAAGCCAATAAAACATTCTGTTAATTCCAGGGTAAAATAGACACGAAATGTACTTAAAAGGAGAATGGAATATACTGTTAATTCCAGGTTAAAATATACATGAAATGTTCTTAAAAGGCAAATGGAACATGCTGCTCATTCCAGGGCGAAATAGACACGAAATTACTGAAAAGGCTAATGGAACATACTGTGAAGTCCATGGTAAAATAAATAATACTTAAATGGTGAATGGAACATACTGTTACGACAACGGAAGTCACGTGACGCTGGTAACACGTGATGAGTGTCTAGAAGATTCGCGAAGACGCTAGTGCGTGCTACGCGCGCGTTTTTGATTGTATATACGTGCTCCAGACGAAGGAGAGGATTATTCTGAACTGGAGTAGCAGAGAGGGAGATTGAAGTTATAGACACCTATAACCACCGTTAGTAAAGTGCGTGAATCGTTGTGAATTATAGCGTGTGGTTAAATTAAAGTGACTGTGGAAATTAAGTGTATTGCAAAGTTGAGTTGAGAAAAAATAAACTAATTATAGTATTTTGGCACTTGTGTATAAAGTTAAAATCATAAATAATACTCAACGTTAGACTGGTACACAGTTAAAAACATTTTATTTAGGCCTATCTATGGCCTTCAAAAAGTTAACGACTGTACATGTTTCGACGTTACAACATGTTTCGTTGATTCCTGAGGATGAGATAGGCCTAAATAAAATGTTTTTAATTGTGTATCAGTTTAACGGTGAATATTATTTATGATTTTAACTTTATACACAAGTGCCAAAATGCTATAATTACGGAAACTTATTTCTAAAGTAGTACTAGTATCGGAAATTATTTGTAGCTGTTTTGTCGTTTTTTTGTGTTTACATGTTGATTTTTTTTTCTTTTTCTAAAAACAGGTCCACTTCACTCAGCTGAATACTTGTACATTTTTTGAGAATTTCACCCCAGAGCCAAAAGCACATCTTCAGAAAGTGTAGAAATAATCGTGTATTCTTATATTATTTACAGAAATGTGAGTTTTTGGAATCATGGGATATGACATATGTTGATTCATTGTTTTAGTTTCAATAATTTTTCAACTTTTTGCTTCTAATTAGCACAGTGTTCCTCAAACCATGGTACACATTCCCCATTATGAGCAAAAATGAAGAAATGTGACTTGATAGTTGGCAATAGGCGCTGCCAGCTAGTTGTCTTCTTTCTAGTTGGCAGTTCAAAATCAGTTACAGTGGCAGATCAATTTTGTCATAAGAAAGACAGGGCAAGCAAGTTTAATGGCATTGAGAAACAAACCTTATAGCATTGAGTCATGAGACTTCTCCCCCTGAATCACCAGGCCATGCTGGCCCCAATCTGAACAATCTTGAAGTAAAAACAAATAATTTATAATGCTAAAATCAGATTTTGATACCTGCAATGGGCAGAGCACAGATAGACCATCATGAACCTTTGTGCTTAACAACAAACAAACATAATGACAATACTTTGATTACTTGGATAGTTGTAATAATTGAAAATCCCCAACTTCAATTAGTTGATTTTTTTGCAAAAATGATTTAATTGCAATTTTGCTTAATCAGTTTTAGGATTAGTCAAAAACAGTAATAATCAGAATAACTAATTTCATTTAGTTTATTGTTTTTTTGACATTAAGTGATTGAATCATAATTTTGATTAAACATCAGTGTAATTGCTACTTGTAGGTAATCAGTTATATTGTTTAATGGATTAAATTACCCAGCTGTGAGGGACACAAAAGATTACTTATAAATCTTGCAACAACTGAAAACATAAGACAGTTAGTTTTAGGTCTAATCACTGTAAATTAACTATTACATATTTACAGAAATTGTATCCTCAAATAAGCATAAGCTCTTCCAGGATCTGCAGGTTTTGAGCTTTCTCCATAACTTTAACCTTTATATGCCAAATGTAGATTTGGACTGTAAACCTCAGCTTCTCCTGAGAATCATTAAGTGCAGCTAGTTGAGAGCTTTATCCATAATCATTACACATACATGTAGTGGTATGTGCAAAACTACTTTTATAACAGCGATCTGTAATGAACAATTTTAATACATTTTATTTCACATTTCATTAGCTATTCCTCCTTAGTTTATGAAAAATATGTACAAATCAAAATAAATGTTCAGACACCAATAAGTTATTGCTGAAGTGTATTTTGTAATTTGGCTTGAGTTTATATAGTGATTAGAAGTTGGGTGGTAGTTATTTTAGGTTGTATTAGTATATAGGATAAATGTGTGTAATTGAAACATTGAACATGAGAATAAATGAAAGTGAAAATTAGAGTACGAATTCTACCTTTCAAGGTGACTTTAATCCATAATTTGGAATTGTAGTGTGAAAGATCTAACTACACATATTTTTAATCTACAGGGTGTTTATTAATGTGTACATTTGTTATCATTAATGCATTTACAGTAACTGACCACAATGGATCTAGGGTTGTTCTTGTCATTGGTAGCACTCCAAGCTCTTGTGGCAGTATTGATAACATTGATGGTAAAGTATACTTTTTTATTTTACTGGAGTTTCAAATTATTTTTCATAGTCTTACCATTATCAAAGAAACTTCTCCTTTAAGAGTTAGGAGCTTGTATATTACAGATTTATATCAATTTCCTAAATCTGTAAATATATTCTAGACATAGGATAAAACTGAAATGTGTATAATATCAGTATTCATTTTGCTCTATTTCTTTGTGTTTTTTTTATTTATAAGATTGAATTACTTGGACATTTGTATAGTTTTTAATAAATATATTTTTGTTTCAAAGTTACATTATTATGCATAAATTAATAAAAATAAATACTAAAGGTATGTATAAATTCCAATCTACCTTTCAACTCAACATTCATTACAGAATTATACCGAATTTGGAGAATTCCATCTCTCATCAATAAAAATGGACTAGGTCAAATTAAAAAACAAGAAAAAGACCAAACATCTTATAGTATCTTTAGTTGCCTATTTTCAAATCTTATAATTATATAGTGGTGATGCTACTTATTTCCTCTTCTAAATTATTCAGTAGACAAGCTATTTAAGGTGCTAAAATATATGTGAAGCTCAACCTATCATTTGATTCACCACTTTCCAATACCCAGATTCCAGATATGAAGTGCTGAACCAATGGGAACCTTCCAGTACATCCAAACATTCATCTGTTCATGCTAAGGGAATGATGTCAACATGAGTTATCAAGCCCACCAATTTAAAATGAACACAGAACCTGGTTGTACCTTCTTTCTTTCTTACAATTGCTACTGGAGATGACCAAGAACTCTCTGAAGGTTGTATAATCCCAGCTTTTAAAATCCACTGTATCTCAGTGCTGGTTACATCTTTAGTGCCCCAGGGAGGCCTGTGTGTTTAATTAGACTTGTTTATGTATGTTGTGTTGAGTCATTGTTGTCTGACCTAATTGATCATCATATTGCATTGGGTCCAGGTTATTTGTACAATTTTCAATCAGTGATCTCAGATGTGTTGGCTACCGTGTATTCATTCTCAGTTGCAATGTGATAAACACAATCCTAGTAGTATTGCTAGACTTACTTACTTTCACTTTGCTTACAGTTCTGATTAACTTACCAGCAGGAAGCTGGATAACCAATCCCACTGAGATTTCTTCCCTTCTTGGACAGGAATTGTTGCAGCAATAAAGTCACATATTGTTTAGTTGTTGCAGCAATAAAGTCACATATTGTTTAGTTGTTGCAGCAATAAAGTCACATATTGTTTAATTGTTGCAGCAATAAAGTCACATTCTTTAATTGTTGCAGCAAAAACAATATGTGACTTTACTGTTGCAACAATTAAAACAATATGTGACTTTATTGTTGCAACAATTAAACAATGTGACTTTATTGCTGCAACAATTAAACAATATGCAGTTTTGTTGTTGCAATAAGTAAAAAATATGTGGCTTCACCACTGCAACAAGTAAACTACATGTATTATTATTTTAAGTACAAACAATATTGATAAAATACATGACTTTCTTGCTGTACATAAACCAGTGATATCATAGCTACTGTATGGAAATCACAGATGTTATCATTACCCAATCAATGGATGTTTTCCACAAAAGTGACTCACCACAGGTGTCATTATTCAGAGCTAGAAACAAGCTAGCAATGAAAGTATTCAAGCTAAGAATAAACCATTAAAACATTTACACTTTACCTGAAGTGTGGAACCTGACAATAAGCACCAAAATCTACTACATACAGGTTAACATCTCTTTGGTTTTAATACAATGAATATAATAAATATTTTACATATCTATTTATAGCAATGAGAAAAAGTAAAAACGTTATCAACTCAAATCTACCAAAGAAAACCCTGAACAATAATAATATCTTGGCTCAACCTAGGAGAAATATTTTAGATCTTCATAAGAAAAGGCATTTAATGCCCAATTGCATAGGTTAGCTTTAAAATTTAAAAGTAGGAAAAACAGAATTACCAGTTTTATACTCTACTCCATTCACAGCAGAAATAAATCAAATATAAATGAATGATACCATATAGAAACATACCTGCTTCTTTAACAGTCTGACCTTAGAATAAATGCAATGTCTGTGCAATAATTCTGCCAACCACAATAAATGGCAGCAAACATTATCAATACTCAAAGTACACTTTTTTCTTTTTATAAACATTTAACTCACATTTTATATACTTGCTAAATATTTTCAAACAAAAAATACAAAATCTTGGTTTTGATGAGGAATTAGCTAACAGGAATAATTTAGTTCTCACAAAGTAAAGGTACAAATAAGTTAGCAATACTTTGAAAATGGAGAAAAAAGAATGTTGGGTTAAATTGGAAACAATAAGATAATGAAGAAAAACAAGAATGTAGGGCTAACTTGGAAAGAGCAAGATAATGGAGAAAAAAGAATGTAGGGTTAACTTGGAAAGAGCAAGATAATGGAAAAAAAAGAATGTAGGGTTAACTTGGAAAGAGCAAGATAATGG